ATAAAAATAAAAATAAAATAATTAAAAAGAATATGTAAATATATTTATAAAGAGAAGGAATGATTTAGTTCATAAAATTGAGAATTATAATTTATAAAAATTTTTGAGAGTGTAATAATTTTTATATTTTTAATATATATTAATGAGTTTTATCATGCTTAATGTGAGAGAAAAATAATTTATTTTATTTTTATTTTTTTTTTTTAATTCATTCTATTTTATCAAGCAAACATGATTTAAATTGCTAGTTTTAGTTCTAACGTCGTTCAATTCCCACTCGCTATTGCCGAATTTATTGGGCATAATGCATCGGTTTGACTTTTGTTGTACTTTGAGACTTCAAGGAATGAATGTGTTTACTGGCTATGCCGAGGCTATCAACTTGCTTACTTGGGTAGATAGGCACCAACACCCTTCAAACACAACATTGAACATACACACAATTGCCTGGCCATATCGGGCTTTAAACCCTTGAGTTTTATGGATCAAAAGGCCAACTATACCCATAATCTTGTGAATTAAGCTTCTGATAGTGAAGGTAATTTTTATGCTCTTGATCAACCATGAAGAGAAAATTACCTGCAAGGTGTGTAAATTTTACAATTTTACACCTATACTCTTGACATTTGGCACTTGGTAGAATGAATAAAAAAATATTTGTCCTCGTGAGCCTATTAAATATATAATAATTTAATGATCGAGCTCAAAAATAAAGAGTTTATTTACATAAAAAGCTATAAAAAATTATGATCAATCTACTTATCTTATTATAATTTTAATCTTACTGTAATTATTTTCTTTAATTATTAAATCATTATTTTTAAAAAATATAAATTTCTAAATGAAATTATCTTATATCTTAACTCAAGGTCATGGCTCCACCACTAAATCACTAAATATGGACAACGTGCATTTACTAGTTATATCGTTTCCTTGTTTGGATTAATGTTTCATGTATTATTATTATCATTTTTAAATACGGAATGGGGGAAGGGGAAGCATATATTTTCTCCTTTTTAACAGTCATCAACTGCTTGTGCGGGGCAGAGATTAAGATGACCGAAAGCTAACTTGAAACCGTTAGCTAATTTCTCATGCAAATGCCAAGTGAACCCATACTCACGTTTTCAATCACTCAACCAACTGATTAATTCCCACGTTATCAAACCTCCTTCCTATTTACTGTTTCATCCTCATCCGTGCTTCTATAACAATTTGGTTGGGTTTTTTTTCACTATTTTTTCTCTTCATTATAAATTTAAACCATTTAAATTAAACATGTATTTTAAAAAATTATCAAATTTAAATCACCAAATTTAATTTCACGATTTAAAATTTATAGTAATCCCTCATTTACTTTAGAGGAAGAAAGCCAATTCCTAATAACTTCTATATATTTTCATTTTCACGATCACAGATAAGAAGGCCAAAAAAAAGCAAAAGTATACAAATTTTCACAGGTGAAGTTTGATTCTTTCGTGGTTGCGTAAAGAGTGGGAAAAATGCAAAAGAAAGAACTAGGAAGATTCAATGACCCAATGTTGGCCATCGATATAAACCTTTTTACCGTTCAGAGCTGCGAACAAGTCAACGGCTCTTCTCACCCCTCTATCGTCCGCCGCTGTGAAATAATCGTGCCCGAACATAACCCCTCCGGGTCGCAGGATCCGGAATCCCCGGTTTACATCGGCCCACGCCGAATAGAAGTCGTGACCCGCATCGATCTCCACCAAATCCCCGTACACCCCCATCTCGCACATCTTCATCAGGGCCGACCCGCTCGAGAACGGCACCGGCACGATCGACTCCGTCGCGTTGAAGCTCACCACGTTCTGCATGAACTGGTAGTACAGCATCACGTCGCCGTTTATCATCTCGATGTCCTTGAACCGGTCCCTGAACCCGGCCCACCCGCGGAAATCGTCCACGCATAGGATCTGGCTTCGGAGCCCGAGTCTCCGGGTCAGCTCGGCCATGTGAAGCGCCGACGCGCCCAGGAATGTGCCCACTTCGATTATGGTTCGGGGCTTCACCCGGCGAATGAGGTTCTCGAAGACCGCGCCTTTGGACCCCCACCCCTTGACCCGCTTTCGACGGAGTCGCTTTGCCGCGTGCTCTGGCGGGAAATTTGTAAAAGGCGACGTTCCGTTGAAAAGGTATCGCAGGAGCGTCGAGCGGACGAGGTCGGTAGGGATCGGGTCGGCGCATCGAGCGGTGACCTGGAAAAAGTCCAGATGGGTACGGGTAGAGTTGTTTATATGAAGAACAGGTGTATAGTGGGTTGAAGAAGGAGAGGTAAGAGCTGTCGTTGGTGATGGTGAGGAGGTTGAAGAGGAAGGAGCGGACAGGTAACCCAAGGCGTAAGTTAGCAAGAGAAGGATGAAATACGCGGAGGGTCTTGCTAATTTGACAACTGTCGCTAGCTTCTTCTGGTAGTGATGCTCTGTTTTCATGTCGAAATTGTTTGCTCTGTGTGTCTCTGTTCGTTTATTGAGGAATAAATTTCAGGATGGGGTTTGCTGTATAGACATATGGAAGTAGATTGGGGACACAACAGGAATTTCCGACAAGTTTGGACTGTCGGTTTATTCGAGGTTTTGGTGTTGGTTCCTATCTGTACAGAGTAGCGAGTAGCACAACTGGTGACCATGAAAACGAGGAGAGGGAAGATAAAATACAGAGCAAAACAGAGACACAGAAGAAAGGTAAGCGTGACGTGAAGATGGAAGTGACGGTGACTTTGATTCCCTTCTACTATAAACGCGAGTGATGAGGCATTGATAAGCGTTGATTATTATTGGTCAACGAATTGGGATCTTTTTCTGTGGATTTGATCAGTGAGGTTTGGATTACGCAATGTGAAATATAACATTGAATTTTGATGAATATTGAATTGATTAACCATATCTGCCTTGTTTTAGAAGCCCTCTAAAAAGGTTAACCATGATGTTTTTCATCTGTTTGGTTACTTCTGTTTTTGATCATGTTGGTTTTTTTTCTGCAATTTTCCTCTTCTATTTACGTTTGATTTGTATAACTTCTTTTTATACTAATATGTTCATGCGATTTTCTTTCCTTTTTTTCTTTTTTGGTTAAAAAAGCTGTCTAAAGTTTATATGCTTTAAAAACGAAGCTCCGGGGGTGTTTGGCTTATTGCAGTCAAATTGATTTTCGAATTATTAATGACTATATTCTAATGAATACTGACAGTGATATCCATCTCATTGGATGCATATACTACTAATCAAGATGGGACGCAATCTAATATATTGATATTAATGAAGGAAGGGGCTGGGCTGACTTGAGGAGTTGTTGAAAGCTTGTACATTTCTGCAAGGAAAGGAGCGAGTAAAATATGAGGTATATTCTTGTTAATTCCTTATGTAAGTGAAAGAAAGACATTCTTAAAGATAATTCTGTACCAGTGATGTCAAATGGCCATGGAACTATCGAAGTAGAGTGTTAATATGGCATTTGATTTTTTTTAAGCCAAGTCACACTCCTATTGATTCAAGAGTTCAGATCATGCCAAACGGGAACGTCGCTTGTTTATTCAATTAACGAAGAAAGCCCCTTAATTAAAATGATGTCCAATAATTTACATAAAAGACAAAATGGAATGAGTATAAAGTTAGGAGAGAATGAGAGATACAGATGAGTTGCTTGCTTTTGGCATGTTTAATTGTTAATAGAAAGTTTTCATTATTCTTCAGTCTTCAGAAGTGTGGAATTTATTTTTCTTCACGATTTGTGAATCGTCAGGCACGACTTAAAATATAATTATTTGGCAATGAAATATGTGAACTGTTTTATTTTTTTAATAAAAAAAATTCTTCGCTCAAATGCAAAAAAAAAAAAAGAAAAAGAAAAAAAAGGAAAAAAATTAACTTTTAATTTCATAATCTTACCAAATAGAAGTGTGTTATTAAATGAGATTGAACTACTCTTGGGGTTTTCCACTCTCCTTTGATATAATTTCATACCCTGGGCAAGACAATTGACACTTGGAAGTTGAATAGTCCACCTCCACCCTCTTTAATCTGAAGCTTCTTCATACTGCATTTGACGTTTTAGTTTCAGAAATGAACTTCGAGATCTGCAGGCTGTGATCGTGGGTTTTGGATCTACTTTATCTTTCCAAGTCAATATCTCAGCCCAAACACTGAACTGCATTTTCCATTCTACCTTTTTTTACTAAGGAGCTGTATTAATGAGAATCTACACCTATATATCCTTATAATCCATGGGATGTTTTTGATCTGTAAATAGTATTGTTGTTTAAGATATTTGATTTCCACTAAATTGCGCGTCTTGTTTTATACCACAATATTACTTTTGAAAGATTTCACAAAAAGAAAAACATCATATACTTAATTTTATATACTTAAAATATTTATTTCCAATTAAATTAAAACATGTATATTTATTATATATTATTTATTTTATAATAAATTTCTATTATTAAAATTATTATTATATTAAAATACATATATTTTAATTTCAATGAATAAAAGTATATTAAATATATAAAAACAAGTATATAAGTTTTGCCCTTTTTTTCCGAACAAATTTTTAGTTTAAACGCTTTTTTTTTTGGGGGGGGGGGGGGTTACCACTTTTTTCTTTGCTCTTCTTTTGAAAGCCAAGGACCACTCTTTGTCCCTTATCTTCTCTTGATGTCATGCTCCCAGATCCAACATCTCAGCCACCCACCGAATTACCCACGATCCCTTCCTCTTTGTCCCTCGCTTGGTTTAAAAGCACCAATAAAATCCACCCCATGAGTTACACGCCTTGCAAGAACTTTATTTTAGTCGGGAAAAAGCATAACCAATGCTAAAATGATGCAGAGAATCGCTCGTTGATCAAACCCACACCACACCATTGAGAACCAGAACAGGTGCGTCCTGGAGTACTGAGTCATAAGTTTTTTTTTTTTTTTTTGGCTTCAAATTGCTCTACAGGCTAATATTTCTTATTTATATAACACAACAGTGAAAGAGTCTGGAAAATCAGCATGCAATTTAGGTAATCGCAAATGTAACAGGGCATGATTATACAAGCCACTTGCTTCCACCGCTCCCTCTTGCCACTATACTAACAACACAAGTTCACTTGCCTAACCTGTTTATCAAGAGAAAGTTTTTGTTCTTTGCTTGACCTATTCAAGGTCATCAGATCACACTATTGCTGCCTTTCAAGAGAAATCTACTATCAACAGTCACATGTATCTTGAGGAAACTTACACGATGTCATCTCATTTTGCCTCTTCTGGCCCATCACCATTATGCCCAGCTGCTGAGCTACCCTGGCCATCTCCACCAGCTGTTCCGGCCTCAGCAGCATCTTGCTTGCTACCTCCACGAACATCATTTGCACCAGAAGATGAAGTTGGCCCACTGCTACTACCACCAAGAGCAGCCTCGCCATGTATCGGATGCATGCCATTATTGATCCCTCCAGGAGGTCTCATTGCCATCTGCGCTTGGATGGCTTGCTGGTGTAGGTGCTGCTGCTGCGGGTCCTGCATTTGATGTGGATTACCAAACTGCAACGGCATCTTTGGTGGGAAAATACCTTGTTGCTGAGCTTGTGCCATTGCCGCAGCCTGAGGATGTTGCATGTAGTATCCCGGTTGCATTGCAGGACGTGGGGCCATCTGTAAGTGCTTTATACAAGCAAACCAGATCAGAAAAGGCAGTAAACGGATTAAGTAAAAACTTAATATGCTGAATGTCCACCTGAGGAGGCATGGCTGGTGTTTGTGGCTGCGCATCAGCAATTGCAGCCAAGTACATCAAATTCTTTTGAAGTTGAGCTTGGTACCTAACACATAAAAATATCACATATATACATCAAACGAAACTTAGCCAGATGCACACAAGCATACAGGAACATAACTACTTGTTATGATAAAAAATAGAAATTAGGGTTACAATACCGTCCAATTTGTTGGATACATGAGGTATAACAATAAAAATTAAATAAAGCCAAATACGTTATAAACATTGCTTTTTAATTCAAACTCTCCTTTCAATAAATATCACTTAATTTGATTATCAATATTAATATGTCAATAAGCACAAACTAGGCATTGCAAGTAACGCAGTTAAGATTAAAAGGCATGAAGTTATCATTGCAAGTAACAGACTTCTGATATCAATACTTAGAATTCAATGCCGTATCATATTGATTTCAAACAAACATTATATGATGTCTATGATTTCAAATACAACAAAACCAAGTAGAAGGTTTACGCTGCAATTCCTATCAGCTGATGCAGGAGTTTATGCATTGTACAGATATAAAACATGCAGGTGATAATGAGATAGTACATGTACCAATTACAAGCACAAAAAATCAGGCTAAAAGTCAGCACAGCACCAATTAGAAGCACAGACAAAGATTAGAATTTTAGAAGTAACTCACTGGGCGCATTCAGCAAGTTTTCCAAGATTTTGATTGTCCAATATTGCCAGGATCAACTTCTTATTTTCATCAAGATACTGCACAACATATCATAAAAGGGCATTTAAATTTTCAAATAAAACAACACAAATTCTTATTGCTTGCCTGGGCACAAGAAGCTGACGTTAAGATAAAATAGACAAATGGTGAAAAAAGGGGGCAAACTAATTAAGCTGACATTTATGGATAAAAAGAATATCATTTCCCATATTGGGGTTCTACCACAATAAGAACTATAATTTCCCAACTAAAAAACCACCATTCCTGGAACAGAGAAAGAAAATAATTGATGCAGCATATTTTGACAGTAACATTTCATGCAACTGTTTTGTAGTTAGATAACACAGTCAAATATCTAAAAAGTAATAATTTCAAAACCTTCACTTTACATAACAGGCAAAAACAATTCAATCAGATCCAACAGTTATGCTAGATTTATATAATCTTTTATCTCCATTATGCATGTAGATACTCCACAGACACAGAACAACATACAAGTAAATACCCCCTGTAGTGCCATAAACTAAACAAGATTCCTAGAGTTTGAGAAGTAAGATTACATAAGTCTCCTATTAAAAAGAGGCTCTCATGATCCTTCATTGATAATTGATATATCCAAGAATAAACCAGATAGGTTGAAATGGAGTGTTATCAATTAAGTGGTTCGCACACAGTAGAAGCAACAGTCAAGCTAGAACTCAGAACATGGATTTCCGAGAATAATGAGAAAGAACTCGACACATGAGATGAAACATGGCAGTCACTCAATTTAAATTCATAAGAACAAGCTCATCCTGTTGGGTGGAGAATAAGTAAATTAAAAAAATAAAATAAAAACACTCGTTAATAGTTGTACGCTATGACATACTGAAAATAATGATGAAAATATAATTGGACTGGTAGAAGACCAAGAGAGATGACGGTAAGAGAGATAATTGAACATATTGGCATATAGTAAAGCCACGATCAAAGAGACAACAGATTGAAAATGCCATATGCCTTGTCAACTAGATGGAGCTCTTATCCAATCTTCCCTTTTTCAATTCCCAGGGTGTAGAAAATTTTAATTCTTAGAGATGCTACTTTTATCATGAACCACGCAAGTGAAACTGATTAACCATACCCTTACATAGCAGCTGGCCCATAATGAAAGAAACGATTTTTAAGCAGGTGTGAGTTTTATAATTGAATGTTCCTGAAGAAGTTCTCTCTACTGTTTTAAGAAAACAGCAAACGGTTAACGTATAAGAGATTTTCAATAAGCGATTCGCTTCCTTCTCAGTTGAACAATAGCCCAAAACATACCAACCCACAAAGCGTCACCGAAGGCTTCCAAGTTAAAAGAGTTAAGAATCTGTCAGGTCTAAAGTTACCACTCCCAGCTTTCGCTGCAGGCTACCTGTGAAATAGATAATGGGATTTAAAAAGCAATACCTTCTGAATCTGCTCGGTGGTTATGTTTGTGGGTGGAAAGGAAGGCATCACAGGAATCATTTGTGGTTGCTGCTGCATCTTCCACTTTCGTTATTTTCACTGAAATCAATAGGGGAAAAACCCTAATTCGACAATCCACAACAGATAAAACCCTAACCCCAATGCAAATACCCAACGAAAAATCCTTCAGCAAAACTAAATTCAGAAGGAAAAGAAGATAACACTGAGAGCAAGAGAAACAGAAATAGAGAGAAAACCAGAGTCCTAGGTTAGGAGTAGGTGGGCGCAGCAAGTGAGACTAATGGTATCCGATTCTGCGAGATCTTTCGACAGTCGACGATGTCTCTGGAATATTAAGACAAGAGAGCTTAACTTAAAAACAGAAACAAAAGGAATATCAGCGTAATCAAGTACTTTGCTCCTAAAATTTACCAAACTTAACGAAGTTTACCAGTTATGGTCTGCTTCGGACGACTTCAAGCTCAATCCAGCCATCAATATTTATATGTCTGTGTCTAACGGTGGCTTCCTTGAACCTCCCTCGGAGATTGTTGTGTGTAGCACAAACATTTATTTCAAAATCCAAACCCTTCATGACAGAGTCTGAGTAATCCCAATCCTTAGATGGCTCAAGTTAATGCTGAGCAAATTTTTTATTTTTAGTTTTAAATGAGATTATTTATGAAAAAATGACAATAAATTTTTTTAAAATATATAAATAATAATTTTATTTTTAAAGAGTCATAATTTTTTTAAGTCCTTAAGGATTGTTCTGTTATTAATAAATTTATATAAATTATTAAATTATTTTTATTGAAAATATATAATTTTATAAGTTTTGTTTAAATATTCACAACTTTTCTTCTTATATTCACAACAATGCAACAATAAATAAGAAATTAACATACAAAGTTGTGATTTGCTATCAAGATAAGAAGGAAAGTTGTGAATATTTAAATAAAACTTATGAATAATTTATTTTAACAAGAATAATTTGATAATTTATATAAATTTAATAATAATAGAAAAGTCTTTAGAGACTTTAAAAAAATTATGACATTTTAAAAGATCAAATTATAATTTATATATTTTAGAGAAATTTATTGTGATTTTTTTTTTGATTGGGTATTCAAAACTTTCATTCTAGTTTCTATTTCTATTTTTTTTATCAAAGGACAATTTTATTAAACTATTAATTCCTTACAAATAACCCAGTCTAAATTAAAGCAAACAACAATAAAAGAAAACTTCCAAAAAAAAATTAGTTTTTATAAATACCTTAAAAAAAGATTCTATTTCTATTATAAATATCTTTTGGAAGTATCTTTTTAATTTTTTATGGATAGTTATTTATTAATATTTTTTAATTTTATTCATATTATAAATTTAATTTTATAATTTATCATGTAATGTATATCTCTCTTTTTATTTTTTAAAAGAATAACTTAAATATAAGAAATTAATAATTATAGTATTTTAAAGTATTGTGTATGGCACTAGGCAATCAAGTTACAAGTCACCCCACACTAGTTAAAGTTTTTTAAGGTGGGTTGGGCTAGCCTGATAGAAAAATTAACTTAAAAAACTCAATTCAATTTATTTTTTTGGCAACTGGCTAGCTCGTGGGCTAGCCTACAATATACACTAGAATATATTTTCCCTCTATTTAAAATTTATATAACATAAATATGTACATTTAATCAACACTACATAGCAAATTAATAATTAAAGAACTTGTAAATAAATAAAATAAATATAGAATTCAATCAACCAAGTTTTAATCCATGCTATATATTAAATCGGCAATTAACAAACTTCAAAAATTCCAAATACAGTCACCACAATTTAAACTGTTCAACACGACTTGAGCCTTTGAGTCCAAAGTACACTCAAATTCTAAACTAACAAGAAGCTAGCTTCTGTTCAATGCTCAAAATAACTCTTGATTAATCATTACGTTAAATTCTTGATCAATCTTTATGACTGTTTATGGTTCACTAATTGAAGAAAAAATCTAATGAAAACATGATTTAGAGATCGAAATCAAGCAAGCAAGAGCAACTGATATAGATCACTATTCGGTAAAAGTGAGTCATACTTGAATTTGAGTGTGAGAAAGGGAGAAATATAGGGAGTCGACATTGTCGAGCACAATAATAGAAGAATGGATAGTGAGAGGCTAAGAGCAAAAGAGGGAATAAGAATTGGGGAACTGAGAGTAGAAGTAGATAGCTAGATTTAGACTTTGAACATAGCAGATAGCAAGAAGACGAAGGTGAGACTCAAGAGTGAGAGGCAACGAGGACGACTCAGACAAGACAACAGTGAGACTTAAACTTTGACAGCCGAGAGTGAGAGGAGAAATGAGAGACGACTTGACAGACTCATATAGTCACACTACACAACAGATGAGAGATAACTTTACTAAGAGGATAGTGCAAGCTTCAAGCCTTCAACAAGTGGAGCTTCAACTTTGACTTCACTGTAATGGCGCCAATGACAAATGGAGAAGATGCAAATGAGAAGAGTGCCATCTGCCAAAGTTGTTCTTCGATGTTTTTAGTTTTAGGTTTAGCTGTTTAGGGATTCAAACATAAGAAGAGACTAAAGAAGTGGACTTAGGAGCTAGCTGGATTTTTTTTAAATAAAAAAACTAACTTGCGAGCTAACCCATTTGGCTAGTTATTTTTATGGTTTGGGCTAGCCTAACCCACTTTTAAGAGTAGGCTCATTTTCTCAGCCCAAACCACCAAATTTGGCACACTAATGAGCTAGCTCGGTGGAACCTTTTTGCTCAGCTTTAGTTGTGTGGAATCTAAAATTAATTCTTTTATGATTTTTTGATATCCCCTCATTCTTTTTTATAATAAGACAATTTATATTAATCAAATTGAAAGATTACAAGGCAGAGGTGGGATTGAAAAACTATAATTTCTTATGAAATCATACTGCTTTTTCATTCATAATATATAGATTTTTTTCCTACTTAGACTAAAATATATTTTCTTGGAGTAATATATAAAACATTTTCTTTTATTATATGCATGTATTGTGTTGTTAGGGATAATTTTGTTCAAGATATTGCCAAATAATAAATGTGAGCACGTCAATAAACATTTAAAATTTAATTTGTCATATTGTGATGGGCTAGCACATTTCATTAAATTCACCTCCATCTTATTTTGCTATCATTTTCAATTAAATTTAAGAGTAATTAATGTAGCCTTTGATTTTTAAGTGGGGTAGTTTTAAATAGTGATAATTTTTTATTTATTTAATAAGCCAACTCCCATTTAATCATCTTCTCCCCTTTACCTACAAGTAACTATATTAGATTGCTTGTATATTTTTCCCCATTAAAAAATATAAAATATTTTAACTAAAGTATACTCTCAATAAATCAATTAATTATTTTTAAATTAATATCATCTTTTAATATTTATCATTACTTAAGTTGAAAGTGAATGGTTGAAGATTTATATATTAAGGATAGTATTGAAAAAAACCAATTGATTACGCGTTGAAAAAGTAAAAAATATCTTATATTTTAAACAACTAATATAAAATTTATCTAATATTTTTAAATAAAGGGAGTTGAATCAATAAGTATACTTATATATTTGATCTTGTAAAAAAATAAATTTTTCGATTTTCTCATTCAATGTACTAAATGACTATAATTAAAAACAAGCCAATAATGATTTTCCCAACAATAAATGAGGAGAGGGTCAAGGTATTGTTGGGAAAAATGTAAGCGATGCATATCATACATTTTGAATTAAATAAAGTCTTTTTTCCTATTCAAACCATTTGAGACTATGCAGGTTGCAAGCTAAGCAGGGAATAGATAGGGTAAACCCATATGGGTGCAGCCTTCATAGGCTCAAGCCATAAGCTTTCCCGAAATTTATCCCTTATTCAAATGACTTAGGGTAGGGTTTGTACGTTTGTTTTATTTTTTTACTATTTAAAATTAAATTTTCAATTACAATATTTATTTTTTTAAAAATACAAATTATAATGTTCAAAAATTTAAAATAAATAATAAAATTTTAATTTTAAAGTATAAATATATACTCTAAAATTTAAATTCAATTTAAAAATTAAAAATATTTTATTTTTTAGATGTAAGACAAAAATGGGCCTTTGGTCAAGTCTAAAGCTTTCTTCTCCAAAACATCAATTTTCATCATACTAAGGAGCTAAGTGAAGTCTTGAGCATTGGAGTTATTGCAAAATTAGGTAAGTACCTTGGAGTCCCCTTACTTCATAAAAGAGCTACGAACATTATTTACTATTCCCATTCTTCAAAAAGTTTGGAGTAAGTTGTCCTCTTGGAAAGGTAAGTTTCTCTCTTTAGCTAGTAGATCCATTTTGATTAAGTTTGTTCTTCTTGTTGTTTCCAATTATCTTATGTAGACCTCTCTCCTTCTTAAAGGGACTTTGAATGAGCTTGAAAAGATTAGTAGGAATTTTTATTGAAATTAGGGGAGATGTTAGAAAAATGCACTTTGTATCTTGAGATATTTTGAAAAAAGACAAGCAAGAAGGAGGACTTGGTTTCAATGATCTTTATAAGAAAAATGTGGCCTTTATTATAAACTGTGTTAGGGTTGCTGACTAAGCCTGATGCCCTTTAGGTAAGAGTTTTAGAAGCTAATATAAATGCAGGGACAATTTGTATCATTTTCTTATGGAAAAGAGGAAGTCTTCCATTGCTTGGAATAGTATTGTGTCTATTTGGGATAATTTCTTATCTATGGTAGCTAGGAAAATTCACAATAAGAGAACTACTAAGTGTTGGTGGGACTTATAAGCTCCTCTTAGAGCACCTATATTTCAATATGTGGATAAGAATCATCATTTACTTAAGTGGATCACTTTTTTCAACCTAACGAGGAGTGGAATTTGGTTATTCTACTTTATGGGTTGTTCAGAAAAATCATATGGTCAAACACTCAAATAACAACCTAGAAGATTGTTTCATCTAAAGAGCTTCATTTGATGAAAACTTAAATGTTAAGCTTATGTAAGATGTCTAAAATCCATCGTACTACTAACCCACATTAGTTGACATTGTCATGGTAATTAAAAGGTAAATAAACCCTATTTCCTTGCCATGATAGAAAAAAACTTAATTACAATTATAAAATAACTAACCATAGTAGAATAGGAAAATTTTAATTTAAATACCTACTATGGTTGATTAAAATTGAACTTATTAAATTAAAACCACTAAATAAACCTTTACCATGGTAAAAGGGATTCTACCATGGTAGAATAGTTTACAACCAAGTAATTTATCTCTATTATAGTAGAAAAGTTTTAAAATTCATTTGATAATTGAAGTTCTTTTGTTAAAGTGGGATCCTAGATTTAATGGTTTAGTCATAACTTTTTAAAAACGAGGAAAACAATGATTCATCATAGTTCTAAAATAAATATAAGTATGGGATACCATTAAGACTTGGAACTAATTGAAAACAGAATTTGAAAATGACATTTTCTACTTAATTGTATCATCCACTGTGGCTTAAGGTGCTTTCGCCGCGATTGATAACATAAAGGCTTGCAGCTAATGCATACATACGT